GCCCTGGAGTGGGGCTTTCTGCCCTGGAGTGGGGCTTTCTGCCCTGGAGTGGGGCTTTCTGCCCTGGAGTGGTGCTCTCCGCCCCGGTGTGGTCTCCACTTTGGTGGCCCCGTTCTGCAACCCTTCAGCCATTGAGAAATCTCGATTTTTTTTTCAAGACACCCAATATTGTACCTTAAAACAAAATTCAGTCAAATTCCTTGAACTGTTCTGACGTGGGGCCGCATTGAACAAGTCTTCAGAGGCTCCCATAAATCCCAACTAAAGAAAAAAAAAAGAATATGCTTTTAGACTACACGCTCTCAATGATTCCTGCCTCTTAGCCTATTCGGACATAACTACGAACCCTTGGACCCTCAAAAGATCTTCCGGTGATTAAACGTTGATAGAACATTGTTATATTCGGATCTAACTATTAATTAATTATTGGCGCACATCGTGTCTTGACAAATTGTCTCGGACAATTTGGAAGTTGGAACATATAGGCAACATAGGCTATGTCATATAGTACCTACCGTACAAGCGAAGCGGTACAACCCTGTTTATGCAAGGGGGCTGCATGGACCATTTTCAGTGCTCCTATAAGAAGAAATAAAGAAAGAAGAATTGAGATTACCGAGTGGGAGGCTCAAGCCACTTTTGTTCCTGTCTTTTTTCAAATAGAAATTATGGAAAGATCGGGTTCCAAAGGCGGGATCCCTTGTGAATCAAGTCACGAAAAGTTCAAGAATCGGCAACAGGCCATGGGCCTATTTCTTCAACGCCGACACTTCTATTAGACTATTATATAGTTAAGTCGTGAACGTTGGTAAAATCCTTTAAGCGGTCCACAAACGTACAAGAATTGTCTACAGTATACTTATTAGTTGTGAGACAGTTCAAAACAGGTACCAAAACTTAGCAAGTTTAAAACTAGGCGTATTGTAAGCGGCAAAAATTGGCCGGAATTGAAACTTAGAGGCAAAATTGGATTTATGAATTTTGGGCAAACCATTTAAAATACCAGGACATGAACCAGATGTGTGAAGTTTAGAATAAGTTTCTGGTGAAAAACCAGAAGAATCTTTAAGTTTTTGCAAAAAGTTATTAATTTTGTCTTCAATTTTTAAAATTGTTTTAGAAATTGGGTCTGTAATTTCAACGAATTTAGAAGGATCGGTTATAAGTTCAGTAAGGCTACTATTGTACCAGCTACGATCGACCAATACAATCCCCCTGCCTTTATCAGGTCTCTATTTTTGGCCAAATCTTTCAATAAAAGAGTGTCACGGGGTTTGAATACAGAAGAAAAAATTTTATAGGACTTGAATCCATAAAAATGACGGTAGGCTAAGCTTTGCAGCTCCCCAAGAAATTCAGGTCGGTTGGGGATTGAAACATTCTTTATGCTCAAAGCAAGTCTTTCAAAGGCTAAAAAAAATTCGTTGAAATTACAGACCCAATTTCTAAAACAATTTAAAAAATTGTAGACAAAATTAATAACTTCTTGCAAAAACTTGAAGATTCTTCTGCCTTTTCACTGGAAACTTATTCTAAACTTTACACATCTGGTTCATGTCCTGGTATTTTATATGGTTTGCCCAAAATTCTTAAATCCGATTTTGCCTCTAAGTTTCAATTCCGGCCAATTTTTGCCGCTTACAATACGCCTAGTTTTAAACTTGCTACGTTTTAAATACCTGTTTTGAACTGTCTCACGACTAATAAGTAAGTATACTGTAGACAATTCTTATACGTTTGTGGACCGCTTAAGCCTTAAAGGATTTTACCAACGTTCAGGACCTAACTATGGCCTCTTTTGATGTGGAAAATTTATTTACTAATGTGCCTCTTCATGAAACCATAGATATATGCCTGAATTCTTTGTTTAAGGATGTAAATGACCTCGTTTTAGGTTTGAAACGTAATTTTTTTAATGAAGCAAAGGCGCTTCTTATCGTAAAGAGGGACGTGTCTGGTTGTCTTCCCATGATGTCATTAGTCTCTCATACGTCACCTTCTGTGATGTCACTATTCGCGGTTCTCCGCGTATATAAGCTTATCATGCCAACTGAGGGAGGCGTAGCCGTCATGCAGTCATAATCATTTTTAGTAGCGTCCACTGGACGTCGCCTGACTCCGGCGTTCAGACAAACGTCGTTACTCCAACCTCCTGTTATCCTATCTAGTTCTTAATATGCTTTTAGATTTAGACTACACGCCCTCAATGATTCCTGCCTCTTATTCGGACATAACTACGAACCCTTGGACCCTCAGAAGATCTTCCGGTGATTAAACGTCGATAGAACATTGTTATATTCAGATCTAACTATTAATTAATTATTGGCGCACATCATGTCTTGACAAATTGTCTCGGACAATTTGGAACATATAGGCAACATATACCATACAACCCTGTTTAGGCAAGGCAAGGGGCTGCATGGACCAATACCATTTCCAGTGCTCCTATAAGAAGAAATAAAGAAAGAAGAATTGAGATTACCAAGTGGGAGGCTCAAGCCACTTTTGTTCCTGTCTTTTTTCAAATAGAAATGTGTTCAGTTAGTGTCTAATACTCCTATAAAATTATGTTCAAAGTTTTTGTGGATAATGGAAATATGGAATGAATGGAAAACATTATTTGAGATAAGCTAGCCTGGTCTCTTTGAAATTAGAAAGCTTTTACTTGACAGTGAACTCCATTTGCTGATTTGCAAATCTCCAAGACTCTNTATTAGGCTACCGGATTTCCTTAAATTTATTGTCTTGCTGTTTTTAAATAATGTATGACAACCTTTTGTTCTTTATGCAGGTATCAATAAATTGTTCACATCTTAAGTCAGTTTGTTTTGTGCATTTGTTAAGCCATCAAGAAAACGTGAGTAACCAATATTTTAACTGGGATATAATTTCATGTCTAACTGTAATAACATTAACACAAAGCCAGTTTCTTGTTCAAGCCAATCTGAAGACTGATGCCAGTATAGGTAGCACCTGCCACGGTGCCACCTGAGATTATTAACATTAGCTTTTAGCTACCTATTTTAAAAACTGATTTTGCCTTCAGATCATATGATTTGAATTAGCCTAAGGCTAAGCTGCTAGTTACAAAAATGTTTACCACCTTTTGTGCCTTGTATTTTTGCCCTATTCTTCTGATATTATTATATTATTTTATTTCAGCTTGCATTGATCATATCCTAAATTTATCCTAAATGCCTTGATGTCTAGGCTCTGAAACACAAATTTTGAATTTAGAAATTATTAAAATGAGGCTGTGAGTGCTCACTCTTTGTAGATTTAATTCTTGTTGAAAGGTGTGTAACGTGTGTTCAATTTTTACAAACTGATTTTTTTTTGTAGCAAAAAAAAAAGGTAAACAACATCCCTGTGTGATTTCTCAGGTAATAAATTTAACATATGATTTCTATTTGTAATTTGGTGTTTTTTTGACTAGTTTTCATGAAATTCCAGATTCACCAGGATATACCTCAGGAAGAGGAAAATAAAAGATCGCCTTTTGGAACCTTTATTGACTTCGGCCCAAGATTAGGTGGATAGGACAACTCAGCGGTCACATTGATTGAAGATTCCTTGACAACAAAGGCTTTGACATACAATATGGGCAAAGGAGATGAAATTGCTAAGCACGCGGAGAAATATAGAGGCAGGACAGATTGGGCCAAAGATGTAAAGAAAACGGCTAATGATGGTTCCTGTACATTTCAGGCAGGGGATCCAAAATGTAATCTTTTTGTTTATGATGTATTATATGATGCAGGGATTACCCCTCCTAAAACTGGTATATGGCCTATTACAGCCTCCATGTGGACGGGTTCTGTTGATGGTTGGACTAAACAAAGTACGCAACAAAGAGGAGATGTAGTATCTGATGGTAAGCATTGTGGCATAGCCGTAGATGGGTCATATACCATTGCAGCAGGTGCAAATCTGGGCAAAGTGTATATGGACAAAGATATTAGCGGGGGAACCATACAACGGTATGATGAACAATAATATGAAATGCACAAGATTCATAGTAATACAACATAGTTTCTGTCTACTTGCATTTATTGGCATGTCAGTTCTATTTCAAAATTCCAATAAGCCTTAACTTTTATTGCAAATCTTTATTACTTACACCTTTATTATACTAATTCATCTTCCATGCAACATTCAAGTGGATTATGAGATAATCTCCCCGCGGTTGACACAGGAATACAATTTGCTTATAGAAGATTCAAGTCAAGTTTTCAAGTGATTGATTATGAATGTGGTCATATCAATAACTTTCTTGAAAGGTTGAGCTTAACCTGGTTTGTGAAAGAAACCTTATACAAGCTATAAGGCAGTAAACAGCTGGTTGATTTTAAAAATTTTTACCATAGTGCCCATTCCATTAAAATAAGAGTATATACATGACACATTGCAAACAAGGAAAAGTTATTTGCATTATAAGAATATAAAATATGGAGAGGACTTGTTTACGCATTTTTTCATATGGTCTGCCAGCAAAACACCTTTCCAATAGGTAAACCAAAACTTGGGCATGTGTAATGCTTAAATGAATGCATCATTTGCTAAAAACAATTGAATAATGTCCATCAATGCCTTGCATGCTTCATTGATTTAGCTTTTATGCAATTATTTGTTTTCAGTTAAAGCCATGTTACGGAGGCTTGTTCAAAAGTTTCCATATTTTCTATATCTAGCCTATTTAGCTTTTGTGCAATTATTACATATTTAGCTTTTGTGCAATTATTTGTTTTCTGTTAAAGCCATGTTACGGAGGCTTGTTCAAAAGTTTTGTGTAACATAAGTGTATCGATTGCTGTTTTTGCTTACTTCTATATTATTTAATCTTCCAGCAAATGTTCTTTATTTAAGTTCGGTTCATGTAACCACTCTTCCTCTTGATTATGATACAAGTTTGATGACCTGACAGATATGAATTTTTCTAAAAGAATAGGTCAACAGATGGTCTAACATGGTAGATCTGTTGCTCAGACTTTGTATGTTGCTCTCTGATGCTTCATTCGCATAATAATAGAACATTTTTGTTGATGCACCTGTGCAAGATTTGTCCTGGATAGATGTTATTCTCTTTTTTTCAATTGAAATTCTTTGTAGTTCAAATTCTAAATCTTTGCCCGAGTCATTTTCTTTGGTTAGAGGGCTTATGATGCTGCGTAGCCTATGAACTTGAAAAGGGATACGACCATTGTTTGTTGTAATGCTTGCCGTAAACTGTCATAGCACACTTAATATTCGATAGTATCCCCAAAAAGTTGGTTGAAGAACATTGGGTAGCTTTTTAGTTGCCTTAATTTTGCTTGGTTTTCAATATTTTCCTAAGGACTACATCCTTCATGTCCTACATTATAGGTAGTGTAAGGAAAGGTCTTGCTGAAGCAAACGTATTTCTTTAATGCCCTATCTTGACTCTCGAATCCAAGAATCTCTTTTTTTTTTTAACATCAAATTTGGTTAAAGTGTCTTTGCCTTTCATGTCTTCCAGCAGGCTCAGTAATTTTGACCAATCTGTGCAAAAAATCATAGGTATCACTATAGAGCAATTCAACTTTACTACCATATCTACTAAATTGAGTTCTAGGAAGCGATCCTGTAAGATCGGAACCATTAACAATGAAACCATGAACCACACGATGTTGCTGAAACTGGATTCTATTCTATTAAGGAAAATTGTGTGTTTCAAAATAAAATAAATTGTTATTTAAATATGTAATGCCTTATGATAAATACACTTTTTCTTTATTTAAACTGTACAAGGACTAAATTGATATTATATATTTCCGAGATTTTCGTGCGAGGGGACATAGTTCAATGGAGCGCTAAGAAGCAGCACTGCTGCTACGTCTTCTGCTGATGCCTGATGAGCTGAGCGTAGTACCCGCCCAGCTTCTTCAGAGACTCGTGCGTGCCAACCTGAAATGCATTTGAATTACCTACGTTACACTTGACACATCATAGCAAAAACACAGTGCCGCACGACAGACTATTTAATCATTTAATTTACACAGCATCCGCAAGTGATTTTAGTTAGCGAAAAACCCAAGAATTACGGTAGTGTTAATAGTGGGTTTACTAGCGCTTCAGAAAATCTTGATCCATTTCTCGCCGAAAGTCAAACGTCCATTTACACAGCGTGTAAATGAAATATTAACAATATTACCATTTCGGCGGTCAAGGCACGCTGTCGCGAGGGTTCAGCTAGGTTATAATATAATAGTGTGTGCATCAAGTTGGTGTACTCAGGGCAGGCCTAGAGTTATCGGAGCAGGTTACATTGTGTCAAGTATAGCTTGAGGTTATCTGTACCATTGAAATCAGTTCGGGGAACTTTCCTTAGAATCCTGGGAAGGGCTTCGCCTGGGTTCAGTAGGATGGTGTCTGAGGAGCAGTTTCTTCGGTCGACCTTATAGTTAGGGCACCCTGCCATTACGTGCAGCAGTCAGGGGGTCAAAAAAGTCGGTTAAGCAAGGCATTGGGCGGTGTTCCATAAGGTATCTGTGAGTGAGGCGTGTGTGGCCAATTCTTAGCCTACACAGGACCACTTTCATGCGACGTTATCTCGGATAAGACGAGTTCCAGATTCGTACACTATCCTTCAATTTTCGCAACTTGTTTACCTCTGAATTTCGCCATTACTCTTGCCACACCCTCTGTCTGCTTTTAATATATGGTAGTAATCGCGACTTGGGACTTATTCATGGCGACGGGCGCTGACTGCCGCCTCATCCGCCCTCTCGTTCCAGCGCACTCCCTACGTGGCCGTAACAGAGCCAGGCCGTCACCAGACGAGCGTTCTGCCATCTCAGTTAGTCTGGGCTTTCCACCGGAGCCACCCGGCCATGATTGCATCTGAGACCGCACAGCTTCGGGTCTCATCGAGACACGCTAGCCAACCGCCCACGACAAGGACGAGATGGCGTAGGGGGGAGATGTAATCCAAAAACCGGCAAATTGTTATTGACTATGTATGAATTATATAATATATTACTAACAAACAAATTTTGTCGACGTAGCGAAGGCTGTTCGCTTGTTAGGAACTTCAAATTGATGGCACAACAAAGAAGGAACAGGTATTTTTAACACCATTAATTATTACGAATGTTTTCCAAACTTCACAAGTCCTGGACTGTAAATGGCACTGATGGTAAAGTTGCCTTATCACGGAACCTGTACAATACCTCGACCAGCCTGCCCCTGCTGAGCACGGCGATGGTGTCGGCGGCCTGTATGGTGGAGAGTCTGTGCGCGATGACGATGACCGTGCGGCCGACGCTGCAGCGCTCCAGCGCTGCCTGCACCACGCGCTCCGACTCCGCGTCCAAGGCACTGCAATGACATGCACTTATTAACAACTAAATCAACATGCTGGATCCGTTTGTTCATCACAATTATATGTACAATTCATAGAAAATTTTTTTTATAATATCAGTTATTCTTTTTGATTAGTTGTCATTCGACTAATTTATAAATTCGTTGCCTGCATCGCAAACTTTAAATTGGTCAAAAATAAGCTGCATTAATAATTGTCAACGGTGTCGTTGATTTTCCATCCAATAATTTTTTAGATTTCAGGTCACCCACGTTTGCCTACAATGGTAAAAGATGTGATGAACGAGCAAATGTGCAAAATCCTAAATTGACATTAACAATGAGAAATATGGCAAAATAAACGTTAAGTATTATTAACAAGTAAGTATAAGCTCATTGGAGACCAAAACATGCAGGAAATGTACAATTTATCGTAGATTATTTATGGATCACTGATTCTGAAAGATACGAAACAAACCATAGCATATGACTAACAAGAAAACTCAATCTCAATCACTGTAGAGGATTCTTAGCGACCTGTCACATCAATAAACTGAAAGTTTTTATGAAATAGTAACCATGGCGTTGCTTTACTCAGATCAACACATGCGTTTGAAAGAAAGAGACCATAATAGCTCACGAAGTCGAACGCAATAGCATGAAAAATACGTCAAAATAATCGACGGTAAACTGTATTCAATTGCATATAAACATAGCATGCTATGCTCTAATATGCAAATACAGACAGCATGTCATGCGTTAACAAGCACTCAAAGATAGCATGCTATGCCTTAATATGCAAGCATGGACAGCATGTCATGCGTTTACAATCATGCAAAGACAGCATGCCATACTTCAACATGCAAATTAGGACCTGGTCGCTTCATCCAGCACGAGGATCCTGGGGTTGTTGAGGAGCGCTCTAGCGATGGCGATGCGCTGCTTCTGGCCTCCCGAGACCGTCACGCCGCGCTCCCCCACAACCGTCGCGTACCCTGCGGGGAACCGCGAGATGAAGCCGTGCGCGTTGGCAGCTTCAGCGGCTGCGATCACCTGCAATTGTTGATCACATTACAACACTGCAAATACGGCCGTTCTTAAACAGTGTTAGGAACACAGAAAATCTAACACGGTACATAAACAGTGCTAGGAACGCAGAAAATCTTACACGGTACATAAACAGTGCTAGGAACACAGAAAATCTTACACGGTACATAAACAGTGCTGGGAACGCAGAAAATCTAACACAGTACATAAACAGTGCTAGGAACGCAGAAAACCTAACACGGTACATTAACAGTGCTAGGAACAAAGAAAATCTTACACAGTACATAAACAGTGCTAGGAACGCAGAAAATCTAACACGGTACATAAACAGTGCTAGGAACACAGAAAATCTAACACGGTACATTAACAGTGCTAGGAACACAGAAAATCTAACACGGTACATTAACAGTGCTAGGAACGCAGAAAATCTAACACGGTACATAAACTGTGATAGGAACGCAGAAAATCTAACACAGTACATAAACAAGGCTTGGGTTTACATAAAACTTGACCGAGCTAGCATTCACAAAAAAGAATTCCCATTGAACCTCCTTTGAAGAGTTGTTAAAAATTAGATTGAAAAATAAGAATATCCCATGACTGATAAGAGAATGGGTTCTGTCTATAATGATTAGGCGTTGATTCTTTTATGTTATATTAAAGACTCTCAAGCTGAGTTCCGCATTGATCACTCGTCTATGTGATCATAAGAAAGACTGCGAGCGTAGCATCAAGAATGCTTCAAAAATACATCTGGTTTTTGGAGGAGGAAAGAACTTCTGGTGAAATTTCAGATCGCACGAATCAAAATAATGATGTTGGCTACTCTTACGGTACGTTCCTGCTGTAATTTCATAAAATTTGGTTCTCTGCACCGATGTTTAAGTAGCAATGACATTTATGGCCATAAATGAGGAATTTTATACTTGTAGTCTGGTACAGTCGTTAATTCAGTCAGTCGTACATATTTTCATGATAATTAAGAACTCGCTGGGCAGGGTGGCCCATTGTTTAAAGTTCAGAGTAGTACCAAGATTGGCGCGGGTTCGATCCCAGCTCTGTGCGCCACTTTCTGGTCAGAATCGGCAAGGAGGCCGGGCGGTTAAGCAAAGCAGAATTGTAGCAGTGAGTTGCGAGTTCGAGACCGCAAAATGCTGTGAAAGTTCTGCAATGTTAAGAATCGACGACAGACCTACGGCCTACTAAACGCTGAAACCGTTATTATTATTACAAGAAGGCGAGTTAAACCTCGCTATCGGTGGCGTCAGGACGTCCGTATCTGATGTTCTCCATGACGGAGGTATGGAAAAGCACAGGCTCCTGGTGGATGAAGCCGATCAGACGACCTCGCACCCAAGCCGGGTCCAGACGTCTCAGGTCAACGTCGTCGATCGTGATGCTGCCGTGGTCTACGTCGTAAAACCTGTCAGTTGACCATTTATCTACACGAGTCAGGTATCTACCTGAGTCTTCTCGTTAGACTTCTACACATTATTACATGCTTTGTCTATGGATACATTAATTGTAGTCTGTTATTGTTCCGAAAGGCTGGTAACAGGAGTTACATCAGTACTTAAAGGATTTAACTAGGAATGAGCGTTACATTAAAAGAAAATGACGGCATATGTGAATTATTGGCATATCTATAGAGCACAAGGTGAGTTCTTTACTCACTCTGAACGCTAATAGAGTGCAAAAAAAACTTCATCGGGTACCTCGATTTCCAGCAACAATAACGGTACTAGAGTAAAGAAAAGATATTGAAGTAAATATGTTCACCGAGTATCATATAACAATATAATATCATAATGCAAACAACATAATCACATAACAATACATTTAATAATAAAACAACATGAATATCATGTGAACTGACCGCTCCAAGAGATGGCCGACGGTAGTTTTGCCAGCACCGCTTTCTCCCACCACAGCCACCGTCTTGCCAGCAGGAATTTCCAGACTGAACTTGTGCAGGACCTCCTGTGACGAAAATACCAAAGCTTACATTCACAACACAATTCTCCACTGTCAATAGAATTCAACGCTTCATGAGGTTAGAGACAGATTGAAAGTCGCTCGGAGAATTTACGTGGGTTTGAATTATTTTTCACTTTTTGAGTGAAAAAAACATCAGGCCAACATACTTCAGAAAAAAACTATGGCCTTGTCAAGAATGAGATATTCTTATTTTTCATGAAAATTTTAACGACAAATCCTTATAAATATAGAATTAACATTTTTTTGTCGATTAATTTTCAGCTGAGAAACAGCATGAATGAAAGACTGCACTTTGAAGAATTGACTATTTTTCTACTTAAGGAAAATACATTGTCTTAGGCAACAAAGAGTAAAATCTAGAATTACTTATGCTGGAATTATTCATTACCATGAATGACTCTCAACGATCCCATCACTTTACATTAAATGATGACAAAAAGAACGAGACGCATATTATTGAAATTAATTCATCTCTAACTTTCTGATGATTATTGCGTGGCCAGGCAATCTCTTATCCCTCTCATGATTAGCAATCTCTGATTCCATCATTCAATCATTAGTAATCAATCATCATCATTAGTAATCACTGATGCCTTTCATCATCATCAATCTCATGTTCATCAATCCATAAATTTCTCACGTGATAACCAATCTCTGACCTCATTGAAGATTATGGCCCAGCTACCATTGGCCCTGCTATTACAGCCTGGATTAGTGTTTTGGTACCTACTCGGTACGTACGTGCCTGAGTCAGCACGTACACACCTGAGTAAGCACGTACACACTTAAGTCAGCACGTACACACTTGAGTCAGCACGTACACACTTGAGTCAGCACGTATACACTTGAGTCAGCACGTACACACTTGAGTCAGCACGTACATACTTGAGTCAGCACGTACACACTTGAGTCAGCACGTATGACTCGCCTGCTCCGGCCTGGTGGGGTAGGAGAAGCAGACGTTGTTGAAGCGCACGCTGCCACACAGCGAGTGGTACGGGATCCTCAGGCCGCCCGTCAGGGGGATGCTTGGCTTCAAGTGCACGAACTGCAAACACCCGCATTATTATTGCCATTATTAGTGACTGTTTAAGAAGTAATGATTTTCTTTAATAATACTCAATTCTAAAAACATTCAAGTATGCTCTGCATCTATAGAGAAATCAATAAGTGACTAAGTAAATTGCAAAAAAAAGTTCTTATCTGACGGTCTTTGGTAAAAGGCAATGTTAATTTCAGAGGGAATTCTATTTTCATCCTATGAAACCCGCATTTTCATGAAAACTGTGGATTTCATAGATTCAAGGGTGCCTTATGCATTTGTACAAGTTCCAGAATCTTCTACAAGATAATTGTAAACGGCAACATCTAAAACCCCCCACATCTACACAAATAGAGGTGATAACCCTTCTTATTTTGTAGAAACACAGATATCTTCACTTTGAACCCTATCATTCAAGCATTTGTCTGGCTATGGTAACTCTAATGGAGACTATGATACATATTGCCCTGCCAGTAGCTAATATGACCGCATCCTGAAGGACCACGACCTAGAGCTGCACCTCGAAGACTCTGGTAGCAGCGCTGACGCCCCTGACGTAGTAGCCGAAGAGTACAGAGAGCTGCCCCAGGGAGCGCTGGATGGTCTGCGACGCCGTCAGGAAAGTCATGAGGTCACCAGGCCGTAGGTTGCCACTCGCGAGCTGCGAGCCTCCAAGCCACAGCGTCAGCAGCACGACGCCATTTAGGAACAGGTTAGATCCTGCCTGCAGAGGAAAAATTAGTTCATGATAATATCTATGTCAAATTTAAAAAAGTAAAAATGAATTGAATAAATATCATAAAGCCGGTGAATAAAAAAAATATGCAGACAAATACCGTAATGAAGGACCACAAAAATAGAGACCAATTTAAAAATCAAGTTCAACTCAGCCGGAGCGATAGATTGGATAATAATGAATTTATTCAGACCGGAAAAACAAACTAGACATAGGTAGTATGTAAGATGTAGGTAGTTCAATTTTTTGTAACTAATGGAGAAGTACTAGTCTTAATATTATCTTTATAAATTAAAAGATTATTATTCTTTTTAACACGTTGACTCCGAAGTGGTACATATGCGTACCACGAAATGTATTTCTCCAGGACGAAGTGGTGCATAATTCAGGTTGCCTAAAATCGGCTAAATCCGAGAACAAAAAAGGCCAAAAAGGCCGATAACCCAATATATACTAGTTTATTTGTAGCTTCCGCTATAAAAATTCCATTTATTTTCTTTTTCCAGTGCTTAAAATTTAATTAGGAAGTACCCCTATCATAAATTTTAGCCGGCCAACGCAATTGAAGAAAACTAAATCACGGAATTTGTCCGGAAAAAATAACCGTCTGGCAACCCTGTTTAAAAACAGTACAAAAAATGAAATAATAGTACAAGATGAAGCGATCGTAGTCAACGTGTTAATCTGGTGGTTGAGCCACAGATTTGCATTTATGAGTGTGAGAATTGATCAACTGGATTGGGAAATTTAAAACCCAGTTAGGAAAATTATAGTGTTGCAAGTCAAAGAGAAAATTCGTATAAAATAAATGAATTAATCAAAATAAATAAATAGTGTCAGACATCCACAAAAATAGGAAATGAAAGCTAATAAGTGAAGGAAAATAATAATAACAAAAATTAAGGTTGCTAGATAGATAAGTCAGATGTCAAAAATATGAAAGCAATTAGGAAATGAATTTCAAAATAATGCAAAAGCGTTTAATAACTTAGAAACCCAAATGGCAAAAAAAATCTACTATCAAAGCCTAGTTTCAAGATTAAATAACTTCGCCGATCACTTGCTTGTTGGCAAGCAATTTCACCTGAAATATTCCAATGCCGAAGCCGAGAGTTTCATTCATGGCTCTGCTCTTGTCGACCTCTTGCGAGAAGAGCTGCATCTCCTGCTCCTCGCTGGCGAAGCTCCGCACGGTGCGTATGTTGCCCAAACATTCCTCCGCCACACCCGTCGACACCGCCACCTGCAACACCTCCTCCATCACACACACTCCTCCGCCACACCTGTCGCCACCGCCACCTGCAACACCTCCTCCATCACATCCCATGTTTAGGAAGTTTTCTCGGGGTTCCAATAGAAAAATAACTAACACCTCTGATGATGGCTGAGGATTGAAGCTTCATCACTAACGACGCATTATTATAATCAAGCTCGTTAGTGGCACCTTATTACTGGGATAGAACGTGAACGAAGCGATGTAACACTAGGCCAGTGAATGTATTCACAATTAGTTTGAGCTGAATTTAATGTGTTATAATTATCAAGCTCTTCAAAAATGATCCTAGATTAGTTTAATGCGCCTGGCTTGATAAATTAAAGGCATAATTATTTTAATGATGAGAATTAGCACCAGGGAATGAGCAACAGCATTTGCTTTTAAATGACCGCACCTGGTGATGTAACCTACAACAGAACCTGGTGATGTACAACAGAAGCTGGCGCTGGGCAACAGCACCTGGTGCTGGACAACAGCACCTGGTGCTGGACAACAGTACCTGGTGCTGGACAACAGTACCTGGTGCTGGACAACAGCACCTGGTGCTGGGCAACAGGACCTGGCGCTGGACAACAGCACCTGGTGCTGGGCAACAGTACCTGGTGCTAGACAACAGTACCTGGCGCTGGACAACAGTACCTGGTGCTGGACAACAGCACCTGGTGCTGGACAACAGCACCTGGTGCTGGACAACAGCACCTGGTGCTGGACAACAGTACCTGGTGCTGGACAACAGTACCTGGTGCTGAACAACAGTACCTGGTGCTGGACAACAGTACCTGGTGCTGGACATCACTTGCTACTGGCCAGCATGTGCTACTGGCCAACACTTGCTACTGGCCAGCGTTTGCAACACGTGACGGCAGTGCGGTTAGGCGCGGCTCACCTGCGTGACGCTGCGGATGCCCTGCGAGACGCACATCTTGAAGGAGCTCTTGAAGTCCTGCACGTCAGCCGTGAGGCGGTTTACAAGCTCCCCTGCACAAGCATTAAGATGGCATCACGTAACATGGCATACATCACCTTTGGCTCATGTTCAATGTGGTAAACCTAACATTGTGCACATGTTAAATGAGTTAATAGTCAAATAGAATGAAAAACTTTACTGCAGAGCTTTCTACTGGTTTTTCCAATGCAGTACCTATTGAATTAAAAATCATCAATGCTTATCCAAACATGCATATACGATAATACAAAAAGTGTTTAAGCATCGTAAAAACTTTTTAGATTACCAAGTTTATAAATCCAAACCTTAGCTGGATTATAAATCCAACAGCCAAGCTCCTTGTGGTTGTATTGAAAACACTTTCAGTATTTCTAGGCTCATCCTGAATACTCCTATTGACTGCTCATCATGAATATGTTGGACCTCACCAGTTCTGTGCTGATCATAAAAAGCAATGTCTTGCTGCAGGAGGGAACGGAAGAGTTCTTCCCTCAACTGCACTGCCAGGCGCTCCCCCATCAACGTCAGACATGTGATGTATCCAAAAGTGAATCCTGCCTGCAAACATAGTGTGAATATACACTGACCACACAAAACATACAGAAGGGAATTAAAATTCTCAAAAAAAGGTGGGGCGGTTGAATGATTCATTAAATGTCCAGTTTGAAACCAAGTGTAAAAATTTAAAACTTATACATAACAAAAATGGATGTGAACCAGAATCTACATGAATAGCTCATCAGGTATAAGTTTTTCATAGGCTTTGTCATTTATTATTAACATTTATCTAGTTCTAATAAAGCTTTATTAGGCATATTTAATGGTCTCTTAGGAGAAATCCACTAGAACTTCACTAGAACTTAATGGATGTAGTGTTTAGATCCAATCATTTGGGTATAAAATACAGCAAATGTTATATACCTGCACAATGTATATTTTAACAAGCTTCAAGGCAGGCTGAGTAACATCCTTCCAGAATTGTTGCGCATCTCTCGCTGTGTTGCCTGCATGCTCCGCCACTACGTTCACTAGATCTCCAAGCAGCAGTGGGATCTGCACATTGGCTAGTGCTACTACCAGGGCCGTCTGCACACACAAAGTCGGGCAATGCTAGAGATATTTAGTGATTTAACACCAATTAAGAAGTGTTGGCATTAACGGTATCTCAATGTGTAATTGTGTATGTAGTTGTGATGTGGCCCATTAACAGTAACTCAATTGCGTACTGGTATGTAGTTGTGAAGTGGCAAATTGGCGTGTAATCTTTAAAAAGAACAAAATTTTTATGATGGTGAATTATTTTAAAAGCTAAGTGAGATAGTAACACCATAAATTCCGAGTTTACAGGAGAATTACTCTAATGCAATATTTTTCCATGTAAGGGCCAATGAGTAGAGTATTACATAGTATTCTGTCGTTGAACTTTTTATTATAGCTTAAGAGTTTTATGAAGTCACAGGAGCTTCCTACAGAAATGACAATGAGTTGCGAGGCATACATTAATAAAATTTGACCGCAAATCATCATAATATACACACAGTAGGTACATTGAAAGATGTGGGGACTCACAGCAACTGCACCAAGGAAATAATGCAGCTGGGGTTTGAGGAGTGTCCAGAAATAATACCAGTCAAACACAAGATCCTCATTATCAAGAGCATCTTTGCTGTCACTATTTGTGTCATCTGACTTCTGAAGTCGAGCTGTCAAGAGCGCCTCTTCTGGAGCTGATACTTTGACAGCACCCTGCTTGCATTGCACCCACACATCTCCAGCAAATACCTGAAATTTGGAAACCATGTTGATTCAATGAATGAAATGCAGTGAATACCTATAGACTATTGTTACATTTGCACTAGGGCATTCAATCAATCAATTTGCATTGGGATTTAGTAAAAAATTAAGAAAAACCCTGACTGTAACTCATCAATATTAGGATCTTGGTACAAATCCTGATATGCAGGCTTAAGGGTGCTTGAGACAATGCACTGACTTGCCTTAGCACAGACGACTGATCCAGCACCCAGAAACACCCTCAAAGGCAAAGGCACTGATTTGGTGGGCTTTGACTGGAGTTTAGGGGCTTTTGACAAGATAAAGTGATTTTGCAGAGGAGAAAAATTCTGAAAATGTTCATAATTTTTTTTTGAAATTTCAACATTATATATTTAAGACAAAGATACGGTATACATAATTATATATAAAAATACATTATGACACCATATCATGCTCAAGAGTGATAATGTACCAAAAAAATTATCAACAGGCGACAATACATTTTTTCTAGACATGGCAGTTTAGAAATGTTATAGGCATTATAAGGAAAAATGTTAACAATGTGCCCCCAGCAACCCAGCTCAGTAGTGGTAATATCAGAATGAGCAAACCTTTGGAGGGGTGTTATTCAGTAACACTCTCTTGAAGCTGATATCCACATTACTGCAAAAAAATAATACATGTATGTAAATTATGAGCCACACAAAAGTTGCCTTGTCTCTTTAAAGATGATCTTACAAAGGCAAGTACTGGTAGCTGTATTTCATGAAGAATAATATATTTCATGATGAATGTTTTTTATTTCAATTTATTAGCTGTTCAAGCATAAAAAGAAAGTTTATTTTAATTATTTACCAAAACTTTCACTCAAATTATCTTAGATTTTAACTAATTGACAAAAAATTTTGATGAAATCTTTTATCTTACCTAAAAAATTTGAAGCTTGTAAACATGGAAGTGCAGCTTTTTGCAGCTGCAAATTTAAGACAGAACATCTGAATGTATGAATTTTGTAGTAAATATGTATGACAGTAATACAGTATTAGGCACTTAGCTAAACATATGATTGAAGATTGTTAAAAAATTTAGGTAATTATTGAAAACTCTAGAGGATCATTTGCTCTGACAAAGCTCATGGAGTCATGGTAGGTTTATAGCAAACTTCTGGAAGGTCTGTAAGGAAATTAGTTTTATACAAGAAATAGTTTGTAGTACAATAGCAATAACCCTCGCAAGTCGCAAAGACCTTTACAATGACTCAATGAGCCCATTATTATTAATCAGCCCAACTTGTTTATGAAATGTTTCATGGTAAGATATTATAAACAAAAAGTGCTCAAAACCTTCCCTTATTGCCCCCAATTGACGCTGATGGTATAGCCACAGGCCCACAGCTCCTTGTTCCACTACAACTAGTTGCTGGATAGTAGCCAGCAGCTTCCATTGTTGGCAAGTGGCAATTCTAAAGTCTAAACAAATACAATCTGACACTGATGGTGCAGCTCAGGCTTCAGGGGCTGGTAGCCTATTGAATATATATACAGAGTTTACAGACTACTGTTTGAGCCATCAGCTGTGACCAGAACTTCCCAAATTGCCCAATTCTGGACATTTTTGGAGCTAGAAAGTTTACACACTTCCAAGTTCCCAGTATATTAGGTCAATTATTTATCAATAGAGGAAAAACAAGTAAAAATCACAGAAAATGTCACTTATTCTAGGTACATTATCTTAAAATAAAAGGAAGCCTGGAAGAGCGAAGAAGAGGACTTCAGACTTCAGAGAACTGTTAGTAATGGACATTGGATGATTGGACAAGTACACTTTACAGTTTACATGTTTCAAACGTTTTTAAATTGAGTTTTATTTCAAGTGTCCTGGATAATGGTAATCCAGCCTGGATTACCACATTGGCACATTCCCAGCCTCCAAGGGGCCCAGGGCCAGCCTGGCCAGGAACCAGGGCCCAGGGGTAATTTGAGACTTTCATTTTGCATTTGGCACCTTAAAAATAGCATAATCATATGGAATTTTTAGAAGATCCCATTCATTATTCAATAGCCCTTGCAAAGAGCTTTAAAATGAGCTCAAACTCATAGTGACAAACCAGAGAGTTTTTAGAATCAGTT